TACCAATTTGGTTTGAAACTCTCATTGCTATTTGTTTCTCAATAAAATTATGGGAGGAAAAAAGATATGTAACACAGACAGGTTTACTGGGTCATGGTAATTAGAACAAAGAATGGTTCAGGGAAGAGAATGAACTTCTTTAGATGTTGAATGATTTAGAAAAGTGTATAGAGAAGACAGCTGACCAACTACAGGGATAAATAAAGAATTCATGGCATTAAGCAGGATTATCTGGCTAAGGCTTTATAATCTGAAACTCTCTTAAAAATTTATAGAAGAAAGCAACACCTGAACTGAAGGGGGATTTTTACAAAACATTTCTGTCAGAAAATTTTAAACACAGAAGACAATAAAAGGGTCTGGGACCTGGAGATGTAGTTCAGTACAAGAACACTTACCTAGCTTGTATAGGCCCTGGGTTTGATCCCCTGAACCATAAACAAGCAAAAAGGAAAATCAAACAAGCAAATAAAGGACTAGGGAAAAGTTCAACTGCTTCTAGCTGACAATGATATCATACAGAGCACAGCAACTGCCACAAGTAGAAATGGCTCCAGTCCAGGAGGTTGGCACTGGCTGAGTATGTCAAGTCACAGGAGACAGGCTGCCCTGAGAAACAAAGTACCTCTACCACTAACCCTTGAATCAGAAAGTGATGGACAATCAGCCAACTCTCCTCTGACAGTGCTGTACATACCTCTTTTCTCAAAAAAGCATTGTCATTGCAAACTAAGCAGAGCTCCTATCAGTTTTCCAGGCTCTCTGCATGGAGCAACAGCCTCAGCTTGTCTAGAGGGGGCCTTCTCTATCCATGTTACTCCAGCACTTTTAACCTATGAGAGATTTTGTTGGAGAGGTGAAAACTCCAGTGTCTCTTAGGAAGTTTATAGGATACCCTGGTCATGAGATACAACAAGGCCATTTGTTTCCCCAAGGTAGTGTCTAGCCAAAGGAGGGGATGAATGGCTCAATTTGGCATGAGGCATTCAAGCATCCCTGTTTCTTGCTCCATAAGCTACACTACTATTCACTGAGTCTATCCTCACATTCTACTACGCAACCAGCCAAAAGCCAGGCCAGCTCAGGGGCCTGTTCTCAATGGTTAAATCTTCTTGTCCTTAAGCAGATGTCTAAAAGGCTAAGCCCACTGCTGCCTCAGTCTCTTCTTGAAAGCAGCTTCAGAAGCATGTCTTGGCAGAGGTGGAGAGGAAAGCTAGCTTGAGAAAATTAAGCAGGTGCTAAAGCCAGCCACAAATTTCTCAGGAGAGATGCAGACTTTTTGTCCTTTCTTTCTTTCTTTTTCTTTTTCTTTTTCTTTTTCGTACCAGGGCATGCTTTCTTCAATAGCATTTTTGTTAACTTTGCTGTTGTTTCCTGAGGCAGAGTGTTATGGCTTGTATCTAGATGTCCCTCCAAAACCTCACGCACTCATAGGAGGGAACCAGCTGACTGAAATCTCTATAAACTGAACTGAAATAAACCTTTTCTCCTTTAACTTGTGGGTGTCAGGTATTTCGTCCCAGCAACAAGAAAAGTACCTAAGACATAAGGTCACTACTGTAGCTCAGGAAGACCTCAAATCTATAGCCCTCCTACCTAGCTTCCTGAGTGCTGGGATTATCGCTATGTACCACCACCCCAGGCTATTTCATTTTTCACATGGATTATAAGGGCATTTTCATTTATTTTACAACCTATTTTTCCCCATTAGTAAAAACACAACCGATTTTTAAAAATTATTTATTTGGGTCTCATTATGTATCTCAGACTTGCAGTGACCCTCCTGTCTCAGACTCCACAGCGCTGGGATTACAGGCATGCACCACCATACCCATTTTCAGGGCTGGCATGGCACACCTGGCATTCTAGGGCTGCATGGCATATGGTACTGGGGATCGAATCCAGGTCCTTGTGCTTGCCAGGCAGGCACTCAGACCACAGAGCTATCCCCTCAACCCAAAGCAATCAATTTTCAACATGAGCTACCACAGAAAAGAGTATATATATATTTTTATAACTGGAAAGAGTATTTTGTGGTTCTACTTATAAACTGTAAGTGAGCCCAAGTAAGCTGGGCCTTGTGGCATTCTCTTAAAACCAAGTTTGCTTCTGTCACCACTCTTCATCCCAGTGCCCCAAGGAACCAGTTCTGAGTTACCTGCTTTGAGAAAGGTCTTGTCTGGTGAAGAGAAGATCTGACTAAAATCCTGGGATTTTAGGACTAGCAGTCTGGGAAGTAGAGAAGGCAGTAGAGGTAAGAGGCAAACAAGCGTGTAGGACTCCAGGTCCAACTCCTGCCTTTACTCCCTTGCTTCAACCAGAATAGCTTTACGGCTTTATATATTAGCACCATAATCTTAGGATGATTAAAGTGAAAGTAGATGAAGCAAAGTGATTCCGGATAAACGCACCTAGCATGGTGTGGGACACACAGTAGATGTTCAAAAGATGTTTGTGATTATTCTCTTTGGATTCTTTATCAGATTTTGTTAGAAAAAAGGGCTCGGAAATATCTAATATCTAATAATCTAATCAAATTAGATTACTAATTTTTTTTTAAATTTTATTATTTCATATACATTTTTAAAAAATTTTATTTATTCATGTGTGTGTGTGTGTGTGTGTGTGTGGCCAGCTCAGTCCACCAGGGGGCGGGGCTGGCTGGCATATGGTGCTGGGGGATTGAACCACGGTCCCTGTGCTTTGCTAAGCTTGTTCTAAGTAGATGCTTTAGATCACTGAGCCATCTCACCAGCCCTAGATTACTAATTTGAACTGTTTTTCCACATTGAAAAAATAAAGCCAGGCACAGTGGTACACAACTACAGTTCCAAGTATTTGGGAGGCTGAGGCAGGAGGACTGCTTGACCCCAAAGCCAAAGGATACAATTAGTAAAATAGTGAAACAAAGCCCAATTACTCCAGCCACAGATTTCTGGCAGGTCTTACCAGGGTGCCATCAGCCAAAGTGCAGCCGGAGAAACGTTTAGCCAGAAATCCTTCAAAGTTAGTTGTCCTCTGAATAGCGAAAAGAAGCAATTTCACCTCAATTTCCTTGGCTCTGGCACGCATGATCTTGGCGAGTTCTGCCCTTCAAAGTAAAGAGTTAAGAATGTTGTAAAACTGATTGATCATTCAAGATGAGAAAAGTAAATGGTTTATATATAGAAAAAGTGTACATGAACATTTCAGACACTGAGGCCTAGTATTATCAACTTAGTCTAATGCTTTCAGCATAGAAATACAATAGTCCTAAGGCGGGGAAGATAGCTCAGTGGAATAAGCACTTCCCTGGCAAGCGCAAGGGCCTGAGTTCAATCCCCGGTTCTGAA